ATCATGGAATCCGGTACTAGAAACATACTACAGAGGGTCTTGCTCGTACCTACCGGTACTACAAGCGGACCCTCTGGGTCAGCCCCAAACCCTAAAGCCCTAAACCCCAAACCCTGAACCCTAAACCCTAAACAGAACCCTAAAGCCCAAACCCCGAACCCTAAACCCTAAACCCTAAGCTCCAAACCTTAATCCGGAGGACCTGAAGCCAAAGACCGGCATGCTTGTGCGCAAGCGTGGTGCCATCGTCAACACTTCTTCAGGGGGCGCTCGGAGCCTGCGATGGAAGTTTGGATGTTTAGGGTTTCGAGTTTAGGATTTCGGGTTTAGGGTTTAAAGTTTAGGGTTTAGGGTTTGTGGTTCTCAGGGTCCACGTAGAGTATGGTTTCGGGTTCAGACTTGAGGGGGTATGTCTATACCGTATGTATACACATATATATATATATGTATATGTATGTGTATACATATATATATATATTTATTTATTTCTTTACCATGCTATGAGGCCATCGCAGTCACTTTCTGGGTCGCCGCAGCTCTTTTCCAAGAAGCAACCCCTCGTACTTGGTACCCAAAGACCCTCTAAGCCCCACCTGGAGTCTCCAGCGTAGTCCCTTTTTGGGGGTAGTTATAGGGGGATTCTAGTATACTACCCCCAAAAAGGTACTACATAGGAGCCTCTAGGTAAACCCTTTGTTCAGGTACAAGGTTGCTCTAGGCCGGGTTCAGGGTTCAACCGAACGTTGCGGCTCTCCTGCACGCGCAACCCTCAAAGACGTACCCAAAGCGCGGCGCAATAACCCGGTAAATTTGATAAGGATCCTTCCTTGGAGGTTCATGGGTAGCTGTAAAGTAGGGCTATCAGTACGGGGGCTTTCAGTACGGCAACGATCCTTCGAACCCTATGTAGCTGCACTTAGAACCCTACTTCCTACCCATGACCCTGCAAGTATGATGGTTCAAGGTAGATTCCTGAACCCTAAACCCTAAACCCTAAACCCTAAACTTTAAGGGCCGTTTTGCTCTCTGGGAAGTAAGGACGACCTCACCGCTCCTGGCAGAATATTCGGCGGCCAAGGCCTATGTCGAAAAGATCCACGGCCGCACAGGGAGTTCGGCACTGGGCGTTGCTGTGGGTTCTGGAGATGTGTGTGTGTGTGTGCGTTTTAGGGTTTAGTGTGTAGGTTTTAGGGTTTAGGGAGGCGGGCGGGAGGGGGGGGGGGGGGGGGGGGGGCAGTCTAATACTCAATCTTCCACCTTACACCTACACCCGAAACCCCAAAACAAAGAGAACAGTACGTCGTGGCGCTGTGTGTTTGCGACGCCTGCGTTTTTTATACGGAATTCCGACATATCTGTATTTGACCAAGGGTTCATATAGGCCATCGTAGTAGGCTACTAAAAGATCCAATAACTATTTTCTTTGTTCCTTCCCAGAAGGTCCATGTATCGGGTTTTCCCGAAACGGGGCATACCCTTATCGGGGTTTCCTATAGGGTCTAGAGATCATCCAGTATCCGCTTGTCCTACTAATTGTTGCGTAGTTGGGTGCTTGGTACTTATAAATGTGTAATATAATTGCATGGTACTACAAATGCAAACTCTCCCCAAAACTGGAAGCCTAAACCCGAAACCCTCTTCGTCCTTTGCCAAGATGGCAGGTTTCCGGGAAGGGGCGGGGCTATGGGGTGATGTACAGCTTTCTACACCTTGCTTCGGGAAACCCTAAACCCTAAACCCTAAACCCCTAAACCCTAAACCCTAAACCCTAAACCCTAAACCCTAAACCCTAAGCCCCAAACCCAACATCACCTGTGTGGCGCGTGCAGTGCGGGCATCTTCCGATTGGCACCCTTGGGAGTATGCCCAACCGTGAGTCCTACGTTATGGTTAAGGTCGAGGGTTCAGGCTTAAGCCCAAAACCCTAAACCCAAGTTCTGAGACAGCTGAATCTTCCAACCCTTGAATTCCGGAGCTTTCAACCTGCCTTCCTAGTATATCAGGCAGGCGGAAGTGCTCCACTCAGACTTTTGTGGTGCCCGAACTGCTTATGCAGCCACACAGGCTTTACAGCCGGGTTGGGAGGAGCCTAAACCCTAAACCTTGGACCCTAAACCCTAAACCCTAAACCCTAAACCCTAAACCCTAAACCCTAAACCCTAAACCCTAACCCCCAAGCCCCAAGCCCTAAGCCCTAAGCCCTAAGCCCTAAGCCCTAAGCCCTAAGCCCTAAGCCCTGGCCCCTAAACCCTAAACCCTAAACCTTGGACCAGGTTCTCACAGGGCCTTGCGGCGGAATTGGCTCCGAAGGGCATCCACGTCCAGGCCCTCAATGGCTTGACCCAGAGGGTCCTAAGTACCTAATTCCGAAACCCTAAACCGTAAACCCTAAACCCTAAGCCCTAAACCCTCTTACCCAAGCCATAGTACCAATTCCTACGAAAGAACCCTACTTTAACCCTACCTTAACCCTACTTTCTGCTATGTAGGTACTTACGACCCTGTGGGTGGAGGCGTGGTTTGACTTTGGGATTCAGCGCTTAGGGCCGTTGAGGGGTCGAGGGTTTAGGGTTTAGGGTTTAAGATTTAGGGTTTGCAGGGATGGACCTTCCCGAAGTACATGAGTTGTGGGGGGGAGGGGGTGGCAGGGGTGGTGGCAGCATCTCCCGACCTTAGACTACTGGGTTTTGGAGCACTGTACTTTGATTTTTTTTAATTCTGGGTTTCTGGGTCCCTATTCTAGCTACTTCTACCTAAAAGTATATGTTTTCCAGGGTCTACTCCAAAGTAGCAAGACCATCTGGCTCTTGAGAAACTATCCATCAAGGGATTAAGACTCGGACGTCTAAGGTTGTACCCCGAAGAGGTTGCCTGAACATCCTCCTAAGATGGCCCTTCTATTCCCTCAAGGATCTTTAAAAGGCCCCAAACCCAAGGGTACTGCACCATCTTCGGGGTCCAAGGTACAGTCCCTTGAACACATAGTATATGTTGAACATGTATGTGCCGAAGTACTTGCAGACTGAAACGAATAGATGACAGTAGGGCTTCTGGGTTCTTTTTAAGGCATGGTCTAGTTCCCTGAAGTTTTTCGGGGATGGTTCTAGCGGCTTGAAAACGCCAGGTTGCAAGTTTTAGGGTTTAGGGTTTAGGGTTTAGACCCCGAGCCCGTTTCAGGCACAGACGCCCTTGTTCGTAACAACGAAGATGGCAAAGATCAGGCGGCCTGGAGACGTAGGGTTTATGCTTTTTTGTTTTATGGTTTATGGGGTTTGATAGGGCTTTAATAGGGTTTAATGGGATTTAATAGGCTTTAATAGCGTTTTCAGGGTTTCATCGGGTTTACAGGGTTGAATAGTGTCTAATGGGGGTTTGTAGGGTTTGTGGGGTGTAGGCTTACGAGCTTCGCCTGCTTGCTGCAGCATGCGTCCGATTGCGGCGATCCCTGCCCGAGCCCTCATAGCCGGTTTAGGGTTTAGGGTATCGGGTTTCGGGTTTCGGGTTTCGGGTTTCGGGCACACACCCACACAGACACACATGTCACCCACGCACATGCACACTTACTCACTATGTCTTACGTTTTTTTGTTTCTACTGTCGTGTTTTGTCCTGTTTTGGCTATCTATATTCATATATAGCTTCTCTCCATTTATTTCTATCCCTCTCTCTTTCCTTCCCCCTCCTTCGCCCCTCTCTCCCAGACACGCTAGAGGGGTTCCGGGGTTTGGAGTTTCGGGTTGGGATGTTTTTACTGATACTAGCAGTCCTTAGTAGGGATTTTAGTACCCCCTAGTAAAAAATTCCTAAGAGTGACTGTTAGTGTAAGTGGGAACATCCCCAAGTTTCGGGTTTGGTGGCTTGGGCTTTGGAAGCTCCCCAGACACCTGCAAACCCTAAGAAAATCCCAAGGGGGTACTATTTAGAAAGGGATAAAAAACCGGTACCTCTAGCGCAACTCGCATTCAGATGAAACGAAGAATGATTTGAATACTCATGTGCATCTTCATGGTGCAGAGATGAATAATTCCTGCAGCATGAAGCACCTGCCGCCCCTTAGAGCTCGCTTCGGGATAAATTAATGCCTCCCCCTGCGCGCAGGAAGGCCTCGATCACAGTGCCGTCGCCGGAAGACTACGTGAAGTGCGCCACACGCCAGATTGGCTACGATGCGGTGATATCGCCTTGGTTGCATGCAAGCAAGTTAGAGGGCCTAGGGGTTTAGGGTTGAGGGGTATAAGTTTGCTCAGACGACACATGATCACCAATGAGAGAGTCCTTCGTTGTCCTGTGAGTTCCTGCCGTTCATCTACCACCCCCCTTAAGCTGCGCAGCCTAGGTGGGCGCATTCATTGCAGCTGTGGGTTCTTTCCTTGCTTCCGGAACCCGTCGCAATCTACGTGGTCAACATGCAGCATCAAGATATCCGGAGGAGAGGCATCAAGAAGGAGAAGGAGAAGTCCGAGCAGGACAAGAAGGGCCAGTAGAATGCCGATGGCCCATTCTGGTGGTTGTGGGCAAGCCCTTGCTCAATTAGAGCCAAGTTCGAGATATCGTTTGTTGCACGCGCACGCGCAGACCAAAAAGGTAAAGTGCGAGTATGACAGGTTATTAGCTTTGTGTAGGCAATGGGAGATCGAAACTAGTGAGCCTTCAAGGGGTACATAAGGACCACTAGGTCCCAACTTTCCTCTGGCTGGTTCTTAGTAGGGAACGAGGGAATGAGGGCCCTACTTATACCCTTTAAGGGATTCAATATCGGGCCCTCATTCCGTCATTCCCTACTAAGAACCAGGGGGCAAGGGGTACATAAGGACTACTAGGTACCAACTTTCCTGCTCAGAACGTCTTTCATCTGCAGCATGTTAAGCACAGATGCACTGGCCGTCGGCTTCTGCATGTGGGTAGTTCCCAAAATGGTGTTACCCTCTTTTCATACCCCAAATAAAGGGGCCCCCAAAAAGGGTACCCCATGTTTCGGAAACCCCCCCCCCCCCCATGTAGGCTTTGATGAGCGACGTCCCGCCATCCATTTGGTTCGACCAGACCGTCCGCCTCGTGTCCGGAGCTGATCTTCACGTAGGGTCCGCTTGTAGTACTATTGCGGCCTAGTGGGAAACCCCAACAACTCGGTAGCCGAGTGGTGCCCTTTACCCCTGTATTTCGAGTTCTAGGTTCCCAAATGGCATAAGCAAGCAAAAAAGGGTGCCCTTATTGTGAGACAGAAACCCTGTGTAGTATGATTGCTGGTGCCCAATTCCAAAGCAGTACCGTATGAGTGGTCCCTCTGGGCACTATTCTGCAGAATCGCTAATGTCCAGCAACCCTAAGCCCTAAACACCAAGCCCTAAACCCTAAGCCCTTAACCCTACACCCTAAACCCTAAGCCCTAAGCCCTAAGCCCTAAACCCTAAGCCCTAAACCCTAAACCCTAAACCCTAAGCCCCTAAGCCCTAAGCCCTAAGCCCTAAACCCTAAGCCCTAAACCCTAAGCCCTAAGCCCTAAACCCTAAACCCTAAGCCCTAAACCCTAAGCCCTAAACCCTAAACCCTAAACCCTAAGCCCTAAGCCCTAAACCCTAAGCCCTAAGCCCTAAACCCTAAACCCCTAAACCCTAAACCCTAAGCCCTAAACCCTAAACCCTAAACCCGAAGCCACATCCCCGCAAGCGGCTGAGGGCCGAAGGCTTCTCTGGTTCACCGGAGCCTGGCAACGTGACCTATCAGGCCGACGGGGCTCAATGTTGTGGCCTGCCCTTTTTTTTTTTGTTTTAGGGTTTAGGGTTTAGGCTTTAGGGTTAGGGTTTAGGGTTTAGGGCTTAGGGTTCAGGGTTCAGGGTTCAGGGTTCAGGGTTCAGGGTTCAGGGTGTTCCCTTAAACTATGTATAGACATCATACTATGTATTCTAGGGTACCCATACACAAAGCATGGAGAAGTAATGAAGTCCCACACCGCCATGGACCCCTCAAATGCAATTCAGCTGCTGTGGGGGCTTCTGGAACGCTTACGGTTCTAAGGGTTTTAAGGGTTTTAGGGGTTTAGGGTTTAGGGTTCAGGGTTTAGGGTAGTTTTTTAGGGCTTGCAGAGGTGTAGGAGGGGTTACAAAGGTTTAGGAGGGGTTACAAGGGTTGACATTACAAGAATTTGCAAGGGTTTACAAGTGTTTGCAAGAGTGTATAGGGTACATAGGGTATGGAGAAGAATTTCGGCTATCCCCCCATTCCTATGTCACAACCCTGAAGCGTGAAGCGCATATCAAAACAGCATTTGGACAACAGAGATGCTTCCAAACCAGAGGGTCTAGTTGTAGTACTGTGAATTGAGGCACAAAAACACGGTTTTTTGTGCCAGATGTCATCATGCTACAACAGCCTAAACCGTAAACCCGAAATCCTCAGCCGTAAACCCTAAACCTGAACAAGCACGCTTCCTTTGCATATTTGCTTGGGGGGGGGGGGGGTCTCTTTTGCGAGGGAGCTATCAACATAAGGATGCTATAGTGATGAGGTTTAGGGTTTAGGCTTTTGGGTTTGACTATGTGACCCTATTCCTTCAGGGCGCATGGGTAGTTATAATTAAAGTTACCTTACTTCTAACCCCACTTATACCTACCCATGAACCTCTAAGTCCCATGTTATTTGGAGTTCTTTAACAACACCGAAGCTGAAAGATTGCACATGCTGGGTGGCAAACACTGTTGGTTCCTTGGTTGTAGCACTTAGCAGGACTACGACGGAAGGTTGAAGCTATCATGCGAGCGGGCTTGAACCCAGCGGTACATTTTCGAGTTAAGTCTTTCGAAGGTCCATAATCCTAACATCTTAGCCGCAGGTATCGGTGGTACCTAGCTTAGGCTCTTCCGGCCATCTCTTCTAGGTAAGTAAGCACTGAAAGTTTTTTGTGTCTTATAAGCCCTGAACCCTAAACGCTAGACCCTAAACCCTAGACTGTATTGGGGCTCTTTACTTTCCGGCCAGGGAGCTCTCCACCTTAAGCGGGTGTTCTCGTAATCATTGGGGTCGCCTTAATGACCCGATTTTACAGGTGCAAGGTTGTCCTCGGTAGGTCCGAAACTCTCGACCCTGCAAACCTTCTTTAGAACCCAAGCAAGCTCTGAACCCGATGGGTGTTATGCGGCTACGGTGCTTAATCAAGTGGCGTTGGATTCGGCCTGAGGCGCTTGGGTCTTCAGACCTTGTTGGGGGTGTTGGGGCGTGTGCACATTGTCCCTAAAGGCAAAATTCCCGATCCAAGTCCTAAACCCTCACCCGCGTGTAAATTATGAGCCCTGTCGTTGCTCGCCCATGCTTCTCCAGAAGTAGTCAGGCAACGATTCAACTGTTGGAGCTCTGTCGCTACTTTGGTGATGCTGCACGCCGCCCTGGCGCGTCTTGTTTTAGGGGCTTAGGGTCGTATACTAAAATCCCCTAAACCCTAAACCCTAAACCCTAAACCCTAAACCCAAAAAGGGACTACATTGGAGAGGTTCTGCTGGCGGTTTACGCAAGATATGGGCCCTTGCTGTCACACCCAACCTGCAAGGAGTGTACTCGAAACGAGACCCCAAGCGGCTCCTAATCTAAACCCTAACCCCTCAACCCTCAACCCTAAACCCTAAACCCTAAATCCCAAACCCTAAACCCTAAACCCTAAACCCTAAACCCTAAACTCTATTCATCTAGATAACAATCCCCCATTTGCTGATCGGGGTCCAGCCGCCCGTGCATCTCGGGCAGCCCGCGTATTACTTATTCAACTTTTTGTTCAAAGGCGTGGTTCGGCTCTTGAGAGTTTAGGGTTTAGGGTTTAGGTCTAGGCACTCACTGAGTCGAGGGTTTAGGATTTAGACCTGGCGTGTGCAGGGCTTCGCGGGTTGGCTTTCAGCTGTGTTTATCGGTTTAGACTCTCTGGTCTTAGGCATGTACCTACTGAAGATTGGAAATCCATTGATTGTTGGGGACGTTTTCCTTCTGAAGGTATAGGCTTACCTAAACCCAAAGCTCTACACCATAAACTCGAAACTCTAAACCCTAAACCCGAAACCCTAGAGGCCCCAAACCCTAAACCCTAGAAGCCCTAAACCCTAAACTCTAATCCCTAAACCCCAACATGTCCAAGTGCCAGCGCTACGTGCAGCGTCGCATAGGTAGTTGCAGGCAAGCCCCCCGGAAGCTGTACTTGCTAGGGTTTAGGTTTCTTAGGGTTAGGGTCTAGGGTTTAGGGCTTCTAGGGTTTAGGGTGCAGGGTTTAGGGCGCCAATGGAAAGAATTGACTCTCCGTTCCCTATAGAGAACCGAACACGAATCCCCAACCCCCATAGGTTGATCTCAATTGGCCGCTGTTTTTGCTCCTCGGCCCCACGCCATAAGGTCCTTAGAAGGGACTGTAGTACCCCCCCCCCCCCACTGTTAGTATAAGGAGTAGTATAAGGAGGAACATCCCGAAAGATCATCTAATAGAGACCCCATCTTATCGGCATGATAATTTTGGTGGTGGGTGCTCTAGAATGGACTGGCCCCCAACCCTATAAGCCTCTAAACCTAAATCCTATAGACCCTGAACCTCAAGCCCCACAAGCCCGCCCCCCAAACCCTATGAACTTATCCCATAAACCCTGCAAGCCTTGATCAATATCTCGGTGCGCCCTTGGGGCAGTTTATGTTTGTTTTCCCTTATTCTCGGGTTTTAAGAGGATCATATTCAGGAATATTTTTCAGATGGTGTTAAGGGCAATTCTAGAAAACCCTCGAACCCTCAAACCCACCACCCCCCTAAACCCTAAAGCGTAGACCCTTTTCAGGCGTCATCATGTGCGCCTCCACGGCCAGCACGTGATTGGCGCTTGCCAGGAGCCTCAAGCATGACTTGCGGCGAGATTTAGGGTTCAGGGTTTAGGGTTTAGGGTTTAGGGTTTAGGGTTTAGGGTTTAGGGTTTAGGGGATTCGATGGCTTTTTGTTTTAGGTGTTTGGGGTTTCGGGTTTATAGGGTTTAGGGCTTAGTGTTGAAGGCTTCCGGCTGACCTTAGAACGGTTTACAGGGTCTTGGGATGGAAGGCTTCTTCATGGGGCTCAGGGCTTTTGGGCTTTGGGTGTTAAATGCTCTGTGTAGGGCTAAGGCACTGTCTACCGGCATTATGTTTTTTTTTTTTTATGAATGCTTCAGCCCGGTAAAAGGGACAAAATGCTCATTTTAAGATTGTACCCCAAAGATGGTGCATTTTTGGCCTCTTTCTGGACATAGCCCGGTCGGCCCTAGTGGGCCATGATGGTTTTTTGTTGGGGTGTCTTTGCCTCATCTTGCCTTCCCTGAAAATGAACAAGAGAGCCCAAGGTTCCTGAATTAAGGAATATGCCTGAAACCATATTCAGGATCCCTATGTAAGGGATATTTCCTTAATTGACCTTAGTAGCTGAGTGAGTACACTTTACGCTTTTTGGGATACGATCATCCCCTGCAGATCAGCAACTAAGAAAACTTTAGGGTTCCCCTACTACCCCCCCCCCCCCCTCTATACTACCTCCCTAGGTTCACCCCCTTTGTTTGGGGCTTATGAACCCTAAACCCTAAACCCTAAACCCTCAGCAACTAAGTGGCTCACTTAAGGGACATTGGGCTCTCGGGGAAGCTGGTACGCTGGTGGAGCGTCGTCGGCTCTCAGCCGCGAGTATACCTGTAGGCCGTAGCGAATCCCTTTGTCATGCGAAGTGGCTAAGAGCCCAAGGGTTTCGGGTTTAGGGTTCAGGGTGTAGGGTTTAGGGTTTAGGGTTTAGGTGGAGGCCGTGCAATCACAATCGGAAAGCAGTAGTAGACGAAGGTGACCAAGCCTTTCACTAAGACGTTCCGACTGTAATCTGCACGGCCTCCACATGGTAAGCTATGCCCAAGAATCCCTAAACCCTAAACCCTAAACCCTAAACCCTAAACCCTAAGCCCCTTCCTTTTCCCAGGTCCAGCAATGAGCTTGCCGGCTTGCATCCCCCTCCGCGGGAGCCACACCTTAATAGCCCCTAGACTTGGGGATACATGGAAATCGGTTTTAATGTTTGGGTACTATACTTCCTAAGAAACAGCTAAAATTGTATATTTTCTAGAGTTCCAAGTTCAGTATAGTAGAACGAAGTCTGGAACTGTGAGCCTAATCCGCAACCTCGAAGGCCTAACACTGAACTCACAGACTCTGCACCTGAAACATGTTAATGTCCAGCCTTGCACGTCTGCTCCGCAAAGCAGAAGCAGACGTCCCGAGGGGACGACGTGAACCCTGCAAAGGTTTATGGCCCGTATGGCTTCCTAAACATTCTAGTGCCTGGGGTATATGGCAAAATCTTGGAGTTCATGGCCTACACCCTAAACCCGAAACCCGAAACCCTCCTACACCCTAAACCCTATACCCGAGCATGGCCCTAAACCCGAAACCCTCAACCCTACACCCTAAGCCCTAAGCCCTATACCCGAGCATGGGGTTCATGTCGCCCCCAACGTGGATGGCAAGCTCAGACCAAGGAAGGGAGGCGTGTTCCACCCAGCTGTGGCAATATGGGTCAAAACTGAGACTTTGGACGCGATCCGGGTCTAGGGTTTAGGGCTAGGGTTTAGGGTTTAGGGTGTAGGGTTTAGGGTTTAGGGCCTCTGTGTTTGGGGTTGAGGGCTTCCGGGTTTGGGGTTTAGGCTTGCGGGTTTCTGGGCTTCTGGTGGCATTTTTGGGCTTAGGCATGTCCGATTGTGCTCCAGTTTGGAGATGCTCTTCGGACTTGATCCTCAGGGAATTTTGGGTTAAGGGTTTAGGGCTTAGGGTTTGGCTTTTCACCCAGTCCCTGGATGCACTTCGGCATCAAACCCAAAGAACAGATGTGGGCCCTTTCTCCTGGACCCTCCCTCTCAAGAACCGCGCATCCCAACCTCGCAGCCCTGCAGCTCAAACTTCCTAGGTTTTATATCCGGCAGCACCCTGAACCCTCAAGCCCTAGAACCCTGAACCTGTAGCCCTAATAAACACCTACAGCCCGAAACCCCGCCAACCTTATCTACCCGAACCTTCAACCCAGCGCGGCGACCCCAAACCCCAAACCCCAACCCTAAACCCTAAACCCCAAACCCCAAACCCTACACCCTAAACCCTAAACCCTAAAACCTAAACCCTAAACCCTAAACCCCACGCCCTAAACCCTAAATCCTAAATCCTACTGTTGAAAAAAGAACAAAAACCTCCAACTCTGGGACCCCCCTGCCCCATGGCTGCCGTGCGCGCCCTCGCCCCACTGCTGTCCATCCTGGCAGCTGCAACCCAGCCCTGTGCTGGTCCCCAGCTTCTCAGGGTTTAGGGTTTAGGGTTTAGGGTTTAGGGTTTAGGGCAGACGGACTGATGAAGTCGGTTCGTCGAATGCGTGAGAAGATTAGAGGGTTTAGGGTTTAGGGTTTGGGGTGAAGGGTTTAGGGTTTAGGGTTTGGGGCTCAGGGTCTAGGGTATCAGGGTTCAGTTAGGGTTTAGTTAGGGTTTAGGGTTTGGGATTTAGTTAAGCCCTGTGCTGGGTCCCAGCCTGGACTAATTAGGGCTTTAGGGTTTAGGGTTTTTGGGTTTGGGGTTCAGGGTTTATAGGGTTTTGGGTTTCGGGTTCAGGTTTAGGGTTTAGAGTTTAGTTCGGGTTGCGGGTTTTGGGTTTAGGGTTCAAAGTCTAGGGTTTACGGCTTAGGACTCAGGGTTTAGGGTTTCGGGTTTAGGGTTCAGGCTTGAGGGTTTCGGGTTTAGGGCTTTCGCATCTTCCAAAGGAGAGGCACATAAGGGTCCGTTGCACACAAGCAGGGGCCACTGTGTTTGAACCACCCAGGACATCAGGTTCCCAGAGCCGTCACTTTGACTGGGAGCTTTCACGTAGCGGGGAGCCAGTGCACCCTAAACCCTAAACCCTAAACCCTAAAACCCTAAACCCTAAACCTAGGCCCTAAGCCCCAAACCCTAGCGGGTGGCGCCGTGGCGTTGTTGCGCGGAGAAATCTTAAGGCATAAGGCTGCGCAAGTTTAGGGTTGAGGTCTGGGTGGAGGTCTAAGGATTAGGATACCCGAGCGCTGAAGAACCACCCAGCTACAAAGGTTTAGGGTTTAGGGTTTAGTAAGGGTGTAGGGTTTTGGGTTTAGGGTGTAGGGTTTCGGGTTTAGGGTTTAGGGTTCAGGGTGTAGGGTTGAGAGCCTTCATGCATTTCATGGGGTGGGTCTCCGGGCACAACCGCAAACCATCGAGGGTTTAGGGGTTAAGGTTTCGGACCTAGACGCTATAAACCCTTTAATTTATGTGAGGGTTCTGGCAGGTTTGAGGGTTCTAGTGGAAGTTACCAGACACAAGCCATATATCCAAAGTCCTGAGCCACTACATTATGCAAGGCTTTGCATGCCACGCTGCAACTGCCCCTGCCGAGGTCAGAATCCGCTGTTTGCGGTACATTGGGTGCACCTGCCCTTGTGCTTTAGGGTGGCTCCGGGCTGTGTGGTTTGGCACTTTGTTTCTTGTTGGGGTGGGTTGCGGAATCTCGGGCCCACTACCCAACCCTTTCTCGCCAGCCGAGTCATGCGCTTGTAAGGTTGAATTGCATGGTCAAGCGCAAGACCCAACCCCCCTCCCCCTCTCAACCCTAAACCCTAATCCTCATCCCAGAAAACACACGTTGAACATCAGCTGCGCTGAGGGACATGGAAGTTGCATGCTCCTGTTTAGTAGTGTCTAGTCCTAAACCCCTAAACCCCCAAACCCATGAACCCCTAAACCCCCAAACCCCTAAACCTTAAACCACAAACCCCTAAACCCTAAACCCCTGCACCCTAAACCCCTAAACCCCTAAACCCTAAACCTTAAGCCCTTAAGCCCTCCCAAATGCCGTGTCGTAAGCCCCAAACCCTAAGCCCTAAACCGTCGGACCGGACCCCCTCACTCTCTCCGCCCACGATGAAGACAACACAAGGGGCGCTGGCTTTCCGAAAATAGGCGTACCCTTGTTGGGATCGTACAATAGGCTATAAGCACCCAAATCAATAAGGGGATTTTGGGAGAGTACTGCAACTATCCTGTGGAAGCTGGCCGGATTGTTTTTCGACGTGCGTTTGTTAAACCCTATAAACCCTACGAACCCTATAAACCCTGCAAACCTTATAAACCCTATAAACCCTGCACACCCTACAAACCCTGCAAACCCTTTACACCTTATAAACCCTATGCCGTCTGCTTTGTGTGCGAGTTGGCAGGCTCCGAAGATCGACATACAGACCCTGAACCCATACCCATCTGCAGCCTGGCTGCCGATCTAAGTTGTTTAGGGTTTAGGGTTTAGGTTTAGGGTAGTTGTTTAGGTTTTGGGTTTAGGGTTTAGGGTTTAGGGTTTAGGGTTTAGGGTTTAGGGTTTAGGGTTTAGGGTTTAGGGTTTAGGGTTTAGGGTTTAGGGTTTAGGGTTTAGGTTTAGGGTAGTTGTTTAGGGTTTGGGTTTAGGGTTTAGGGTTGCAACCCAGGGTAGTTTCACGGGCCCTTGATATGGTTCCGTACCTGCTTTGAAGATGGGCCCTTGGGTTTTGTAGGGTATGAGGGGTATCTAAGAGGTCCCCACTTAAGGACCCAGATGGGAGTCTACGAACATAAGGGACCCCTATAGTAGACCCCCAAATAGTAGGATCCCCTTATAATAAGGACCGCAATAATGTACCCCTAATATCGTGAACCCCCATATTCAGGGACCATGTATCTAGCACGGACCAAGCGCCGATGTAGCCCCTCGAGCTCCCTTTTAGCTTTTTTTGGGGGTTGAGGGTTTACACCCTAAACCCTAAACCCTCAACCCTCAACCCTCAACCCTCA